TGAGCCTGATTCGGCTTTGTCAGGGGAGCAAGGCCAGCAAGATTCTTGGTTTTGAGGGAGGAGCCCTTCTGAGTGGGGATGGGAGGAGGGAGAAGGCACACATGAGCCTGGGCGCAGCGCCTGGGCCAGAGCTCTGGGCTTGCTTCTGGTGTCCGGTTCGCTGCTCAGTATGGCAGAAAGGGGGGTCAGCCATTTGTCCTGGGGTGTTCTCCAACTGGGGCAGACACTTGGAGCACCTTCCCCACTCTCCGGCCTCTGCCCACACAAAGGCCACTCGCTGGTCCTCTGTGAGGAAAAGAAAAAGCCACTCTTGGCCACTTGCCTCTTTGCTGGTGATTATGAAAAATCTTGAAGATTTTTCTAGAACAGTTTCTAATGCTTGGAGTACAGTTAAAATTTGCAGGCATCTTTTAAAGAACCTTAACAGTTAAAAATGAACAAAAACTAAGATAACGTTTAAGGATATCCAGTTTGTAAACTGCCTTCTAAGCAGACTAATGTGTTCATCTTCCTGTTGGCTCCAGAAAAAAACTTTCCGGTAACTTCCACCCTTTCCTGTACCCCAGCCTTTCTGAGCGTTAAGGTGCAGGACTTCTTCTCCCCAGCAGGCCTCCTGCTCTCTGCCTGACTTCATCTGGAGAGTGGCTCAGACACAGATGCCCTAACCACATTTGATATATGAACTTTGACACAGCTCCCTGCTAGCTCTCCCCTCCCAGAACCTATATGATAATTAGATACTGCATTTCATTTCTTATGATAGGAGCATGCTGTTTAATGCAAACCAAGCATGCTTGAAGTGCCTAGTAATTATGTACAATTATCCTTGGAGCCCCCCACCCCCACTCCCCAAGGGTATATAGCTGTAATTAAAGTTGAACTAGCTCCTGAACAGTTCCTGGGGTGTGGGATCCCTGGTCATTCCAGGCAGGCTTCCTGTCTCATGCCCCTCCTGACTTCGTGGGCTGGAGGGAGACAGACCCCTGGCAGGAGGCTCACACATCCCTGCCCCAACTCCTTACCCTTTGGTACGTTTACCTCTTTTCTCGGCCTCTCACTGTTCTTACGTCACCTGACCTCCTCTCATAAGGAAATGCTTTTCATGTGCTCTTCCCCGGGTTGCCCATCTTTAGTTTAATTCTTTTTTGTTGTTTGTTTCTTTTGAGATAGCCTCCTACTGTGCAGCTCCAGATGGCATGGGATTCACTATAATCAAGGCTGGCATTGAACTCACATAAACCCCCTTCTCAGGGACAGGGATCAAAAGCTTAATTCTTTGAGACTTACCACACCCAGTTTTTCCTAGTTTCACTGAGTGTATGTGTGTGTGTTCTGAGTATGTTTGGGTGTGTGTCCCTCTGCACAAGCTGAGGCCAGACTGTGTGTGTGTTCTGAGTATGTTTGGGTGTGTGTCCCTATGCACAGGTAAGCTGAGACCAGACGTAGGAAGCCATCAGCAGTCTGTCCTCTATCTCTAACACAGATCTCACCGTGAGGCTTACACCTGCCTCTAACCCAAAAACCTTTTGCCTTAGCCTCTGGACTTTTGAGTGAGATTACAGGTTATGGTGGACCACCATGCCAGGCTAGATGGAGATGTTTGATTTCTGGGCTGGGGGTATAGCTCAGCAGTAGAGTACTTACCCCTTATCTAATACGATTTCAGTCCATGTGGTATCCAACTGTCCCCTCTCCCCTCCCCATTTCCCTCATCCCCCTACCCATGTTCTCCCCCCCCCCCCCCCACAAAACCCCAACCCCCAAAAAAAAAAAAAAAAAAAATAGTTTCACTTCTAAAACAGCACCCCTTAGGCTATGGTCCTCCGAGTTTTTTATTTTTTTATTTATTTTATTTTTTTGGTCCTCCGTGTTTTTATCACACAGCTCATCACACGTTGCTAAGTAACTCAAACCAAACCTTAACCAGTTAATTAGTTAATGTAACTAACCCACCATTAACTAATACTTAAAACTTGCAGCCCTGAGATTCCAAGCCAGGGCTTTCAAGAACACAAGGAAAGAACTCTGTCGCTAACTCACACCTTCAGCTCCTTTTTATCAGTTAAGTCAACATGGCATGTGGAGGGACGACACTTCAGAATAGAGTCACATCTGGTCTTTTCTTTTTATGACTTAAAACTGAAAAAAAACACCTTTAAACAGCAGCCACTTCCCAAGACAGACCGACGAAACCTCACTAGAGGTGCCCAAATCGCTGGTGTGTCTGTGGACCTGATGAAGCCATTTTCGGGGTGACCTGTTACAGCCACTACCACCACCCAGCTCATTAGTCTCCCAACCCTCGTGGCACAGGCTGACAGCAGGGGACAGGGGAGAGTGGGCAGACTCAGTCTCTGGGCCCAATCCCAGCACCTTTCTTAGATGATACTCAGGCTATTTCCCAAGCTCTCTTGTCAAACAAAACAAGGACATCAAACAAACATCAAAACGCGAAAGTTCATAGGTTATCAAAAGTTTTCCAGTAAAGCCATGTTAACCAAGTAAGTATGACGAGGGAGCCAACTGTTTACCGCAGGCAACTATTGGCTGGCCTGGAATAGAAATGTAGGCTACCAATAAGCCCAGTGCCTTTCCAACATACCATCCCTGTCCGCCTTCTGCCTTTGTGGTCCTCCCCCCCCAAAAAAACGTTGCATCAGTGGGCATGTAGGACACTCCAGCGCCTGCTGCCCTTCAATGACCTCGTGGGCTCGCGAACAAAAGACCCCGGGGCGCACCGTGGGGGTGGGGTGTCAGGCCGCAGGGCAGGACCCAGAGGCCGGAAAGGGTAACCAGCTTGGCCAGGCGGGATGGATCCTGAGCTACGTCGACCCTCTAGGATCCGGTAGTGGCTAGTACTGAGGTGCCCCACGCACCCTCCGTGAGGGGAGCCCACAAAAACCCAGACTTCACCGCAGGGGCGATGTGCGGCCGCCCCGAGACGAAGCAGGGGCCACGGGGGGTCCCCGGAACGCAGCCTCTGGGGCGCGGGGTCGCTGGAGCCAGAATCGCCCCCGCCCCAACCACAAGGGAAGAAACGCAGGAAGAGGCGGAGTCCGGAGGAGAAGAAAAGAAAAGAGTATTCCGGGAACTGGCACGGGGGGGGGGGGGGGGGGGGGCCCGGCCTTTGCCCTACTGTGCGCCGCGCAGGCGGCTCCCACCCAGGACCCCGCAGTACCTGGGCAGCTGCGTCTCGGAGATGTCCCGGGCCACTTCCGGGCTGCTCTGTTGATGAGCGCGGCGGGGGGCTGGGGGGGGGACAGTGGCTGCCGCGGGAGCCGACCCAGGCCGAAAGCGGGAGGGACGGCGGGGTGCTGCCCGGTGCTCCGGACCCGGAAAGTCTCGGCAAGCCCGGGGCCTTCCCCAGAGCTGGAGCTAGACCGGCGCTCGGCCCTGGGTTCCAGGCCACTTAGCCGGCGGCGAGCTGGGGAACGAGGCAGGAGGCGGGGCCAGGGGCGGAGCGAGGCCGGGACGGGGCCGCCCAACGCAACCTCTCCCACTACAAAGGCCGTCTAGGGAGCCAGGGATGACGGGTTTGGGCGCTGTTTTGTTTCTTGCGGCCTCCCCAGGGGGCAAGGTTAGTGCCTGGTACCTAGAACTAACTCTTTGATACAAAATGTGTTGGATGTCCGGCCTGGCGATGCGGATGTGTACCCCCTAGCTTCTAGGAAGACCAAGGCAGGGCGATCTCTAATTCTGCGATACGGAACAAAATCAAGGCCAGCCTGGGCAATATAGGGGCACCCTGACTCAAAAGACAAAGGAATAGGGGCTGGGGTGTAACGGGGTGTCACCCGAGCTGGTCAAGGGCTAGGCCTTAGGTCCAGTCAGAAAGCACGGAAGCCTAAACTCCCCCCTTCCCGGGCTTACTTGTTTTATAAGCTCGTCTGATTTTAATTTTCCACCCAGGATATAAGCAGAATTATAACTACCATAACCACCCTCCTTGCTTCTCCCTGGGTCTTTGCTTAATGCTGTCCAGAGGCTCCCTACACCCAAGACCAAACTACTTCAGAGTAAGGAGAAACAGTTACGGACAAAGTCCTTTGCCTTCCAAAATAAAATATGCTGCAGCTCTCAGTAGTGTGTGCTCAGTCTAAACATGAACATTACCGAGGCAGAAATGTTAGTGGAAATCTAAAGACAAGGTGTGAGGGGTGACTAGGCTTTCAGACTATTCTGAGCATTTGAATCTCACTTTCAGGTCTCTGAGGAAAGAGAAGGGGTGGGTACTTCACAGATTTTGCACAGAGATTTTTTTCCATTAAAAAAAAAAAAGCTTTTTTTTTTCTTCTTTAAAGACAAGATGTCTTTATGCATCCAACTGGCTTGAGATCTCCCCGGCCCATGCACCAGGTGCTGAAATGATAATGGTTTAAGGGAACATTCTCATCCACGATGACTGACATTGCCAAGGTCCTCTTCATGGGCTGACCCTGAAGACATGTCACAGCCTGGCAGGACTCTTGCCAGTCCCATACATCCGAAAGGCTGTTATCTAGAATCCTGGTTCTCTACAAAAGACATTCAGCACTGAAGATATTTCCAGCCACAGTTTCAAAGTTGCGGAGATGGCCGTAGTACGTGGGTGGGTGGGGAGATGATACAAAGCTGTGTGCTACATGTTCCCATTTTTATAAACGTGCACTTAAAATAGAAATATTGCAGAAGATGGGTGGGACTGGGACATCATTATGCTCTGCAAAATAAACTAAACTCAGAGCAATAGTATGTTTCTTCCATATGTGTAATGTAGACTTACATATGTATAAATATGCGGGTTTGCATATAGGCAATGAAAGTGGAAAGAAGGCTAGGAGAGCAGAGGAAGAGGTCTAAGGGGGAAAGAAGACCCAGAGAGGATACTGAATATTCAAGTCATGGGAGCAGAATGGGGGGTGGGGGTTGGAAGAAGGAGACATCAAGAGGGGGAGGGGATGACCAGGGAGGACAATGAGGGCACAGGAATGAAGTATAATGGCACACACACACACACAGAATTGTTGAAATTTCTATTTATGCCCTTGGAGAAAATTATCATAACAAAGAACAAAATCTGTAAATGTGGGACTGGAGAGATGGCTCAGAGGTTAAGAACACTGGCTGTTCTTCGAAAGGTCCTGAGTTCAGCTCCCAGCAACCACATGGTGGCTCACAGCCATCCTTAATGAGATCTGGTCCTTTTTCTGGTGTGCAGGCACAAATGCAGGCATAACACTGTATAATAAATAAATAAATAAATAAATAAATAAATAAATAAATAAATAAATAAATGTATGTTTAAAAAAAATCTCACAATGTTAACTATGACTACTTACATTTGAGCATTCAACCTCACCTTTAGGTTAAATTTGCATGGAAAGCCTAGTAAAAGAACCACACAAACACAGTCACGTGGTCTTTGATGCCCCAGCAGACTGTTCCCCAGACGGAAGACGGTCTTTCTAAGCAACAGCACTATTGCAGTTTGAACAATGTACCCCAGGGTGCACCTGTGAAAGCTCTGGCTCTCATCTGGAAAGTCATGGAACCTTTCAGTAGCAGAGCCTGTTGGGAGACTTTGGGCATTAATAGCGTGTTCCTGAAGGGGCTTGTGGGAGTCTAATCTCTTTCTTTTCCTCTTCCTCTTCCCTGTGCTCCTTGCCTTGATTTATTGCTTCACCATGGACCCAAGTGCAAAATAGAGACTTAATCATGGACCCAAACTCTAAAAATGTGAGCCTATTTTATTTTAACTCTTTCTCTTGTTCTATTGATTGCCTCAGATATTTGTTACAGTAGCAGAAAGCTGTCTGACACAAACTAGACACACTAAAAAGTGAAACTAGACACAGGCGTTATACTTTTCACAAAAACTAACTCAAAAGCAGTGGTAGACCTCCATGTAAAATCCCAACCTTGAAGGGTCCTACTAATGTCAAGGAAAATCCAGATGATCATGGGTTGGGTGAAATTTTATTAGATGCAACTATGATCCTTGAAAGGAAAAAAAATGGACTTTTAAGTTAAAAACATCTGCTTAAATTGTTTTTAGATTTACTTCATTTTATAAGAGGAGTGTGTTGCCTGCACGGATGTATGTGTACCGCCTGTATGGAATAACAACAGAAGTCAGAAGAGGGCATTAGATCCCTTGGAACTGCAGTCAAACAGGGTTGTGAGGCACCGTGTGGGCTCTAGGAACCCAAGCCAGGTCCTGTGCAATCACTGAGCCATCCCTGCAGCCCATAGATACGAGTTTTTTATTCACTTTGATGACTACTTGGTTGCATGTTATGATATAGACATGTTATGATACAGTGTCATTTTGTACTCCCACCAGCAAGGAATGAACGCTCTGTTGTCCCACATCCTTGCCAGCACTTATTATCAGCTTTGGGTTTTAGCTACTTTTGTGTGGCAGTTTCCTTCCAGATTGAAACATGGCACCCTCCAGGGAAGCTCCTTAAGACAGAAAGCAAACAACTCAAAATGTCTTCAGGAAGTTCCTGAAGCTGACAAGATTCACTAAGCTCCTCCAACCCAAGAGTAAACAGTGAAGACTGTAAAACAAACAAACAAACAAATAAAAAAACTCTCAGGGGAACCAAACTGCAAAGAAACTCCAAGACCAGCAGAGCAGCCTGGAAGAAGCAGAAAGCAGCCAAGCTGCTTGGAAGGGGCTCTGATCACCTGAGCCACCTAGAAAGGACACCCTCCAACCTGTTGAGCTGCCTGCAGCCCGCACAGCATGCTCCAGATTTCCAGCTTCTGCGAGCTCTCACCGTGCTGGGGTGGGCTTTGGTGTTGTGTTTGGGTCACTTCTGTTCCTGTGAGTGACCCCGGTAAAGCTCACTGGTGGACGCTGGAGACATTTCTACTTTAGTCTGTCATGAGCTCCCCATCGAGATGAGTAGACGTGTGTTGCATGTCTCCAGGCTGTCACACAACAGCCATTCAAAAAGACATGTCACTGCTAAGGTGATGTTTTGAAGATGGCAGGTTGTTGGACACGGCCATAGTCTATTGAGAATGACCCTAGGGAGAGGGGTGTGTGTATAAAGAGAGACACAGACGAGACTGAAGTGGTTGGGATTAGGTGAGGAGAGTCTGGGGATGTAGAAAAGGGCTGACTCTCCATAGAAGCAGGGACTTGGTTGGCATGCTTTTTAATGGAGGAAATGAAGATAGGCACCATGTATATCTGGAAGAGGCAGGTGAGAGAGTCCCCAGCGACAACTTCTGCTTTTTCCAGGAAGTGTGTAGCAGTGGTTTCCTGCAGAAAAGAAGGCCTGTGGCAAGAATTGTGAAGGAGGTTTGTAGAGAGAGAACCTTCTTGATATGAAATGCATGTGTGTGTGTGTATGTGTCAGAGGCTTCACAGAAGAAGGGAATTCAGTGAAATTCTCTGAGCTGCAGCAATATAGGTCTGGTCCTTCTGTTCACGAAACCTCAGACCCAGCAGCTTCCTCTTCCTCAGGGCAGTGGAGAGCCACAGAATGTGTTTTGGAGACCTGGGTCTGGTGTGAATGCGCTTGAGGCAAAGCTACCTTTGAGACCGACTTCTGGACTGTAGCATTCTCATGGCCGGTCCTGATGGCTGGGCCTCTGGTGGGCCATGGACTTCCCTCAACCCTGCACGTGTGAGGCGCCTGTGGGCCAGTTCCTCAGTCTCTAGGCTGTGAATCCCAAACCCCACTCGACCGCAGGCGGCCTCAACCCAGCAGATAGAGGAAGTAGAGCAAGTGCTGCAGAGGTCTGTTCACGGGGTGTCGAGATTGTGGCGAGCAGAGCACTCCGCCATGCCCGGCCAAGCAACAGGCAGCTGCCACCATTGTCTCAACCTCACCCCGAGTGCTTTCCACATGACCTTTCCCCACCTCAGAGTTTTCAAATGACTCATTTCCTTCTTTCGCTGTTCTTCAAAGTCAGTCCTAGCCTCTGGGGCTCTGCATCCTCACCGGCCAGCCATCCTCTTCTCGCTGAACCAGCTCCCTTCCAGAACAGATCAACATAAGAGCTTACAGGGTTGCCCTTATGTTCAGAGACTATAAACAGTGTCTTTGCAGGAGGACGATGGCTCAGCTTCCCCTGGGAAACTTCTCCTTCCTCCTTTCCTCTCATCTGTTGTACTCCACCTTTCTACATAATACTGTAAATTCTTTTTCAATTGCCTACTTATTTGTCTGTGTGTTCATGTGTGTATGAGCTCACACATGGTTATATGTGTGTGAATATGTGAGTAGAGGCCAGAAGACAACCCTGGGTGTCATTGTCTGCCATTCTTTGGATATGTCCTTTGTGACAGGCCTCCCTCACCGGCCTGGAAGTCACCAACAAGGCCAGAAGGGCTAGCCAGCCAGCCCCCGGGATTGTCCTGTGTCTGCTCCCCAGGGTCAGGGTTACAAGCACGTACCACCACATCCACGACTGTACATGGGTTCTAGGATTTAACTCAGGCCCTTATGCTTGTAGGGCAGGCCCTTGACTGATGGAGCCTTCTCCTCACAACAGGCAGGTGTCTAAAGAGAGACACTGCAGTTCTCAGAGAGATGTGAGCTCCTCATCTGGGGGGGCGCAGCAGTGCTGGTGACAGCAGGAGTGAATAGGGGAGAATCTTTCTCTGGCAGGAGCCAAGAAGCTTGATCGGAACCAGAGCTGGGCGATCGCCTTCGAAGGCCCATCTCTCACGACCCGGGAGGGTGCGTTCTGGTCCTAATGCTTGCATGGCAAATGCTTTATCCACAGTACCGTCTCCTCAATCTCCTCCCTAAACATTTTAAATATAAGGTTGGCTGAGTTTGTGGATTCAGGGCCTGCAGAAGCAGAGGGCTTTGGGGAATCCCTGCAAAACTGCAAGGCCATAGCGCTAGCTCCAATGACCCAAGGGAGCTGTAGTACCAGAACCTAGACATGGGCTCCTCGTGACTTCTCTGAGTAGCGGGGAGTGTATGGGACCATCTCCAGGACCATTTTGTGCTGTCCAGATTCTTTGTTTATCTCTTGGGCAGGAAAAGAGAGGGTTGCATTTGCTTGTAAATGATAGTTTTGGGTTCAAAGTCCCGATTAATTGATCAGGGAGTAAGGACTTTCCCCTGAGGATGGGAACTAGGAAGGGAAGAAAGGTGAGCTAATAGAATCAGAAAAGGAATAGGAGTTAGTTTGTGTTGAGGGGTTCATGATGAATGCGTGTGGAGGTCCACCGCAGCCGGGGTGGGCCTGCTGTGACAACATGGGAGTCCTGGCCAAAGCCATGAGAGAGGTGCGGGTGAGGGTGGAGTGTCTGCTATCAGTTAATGATGAAGTCAGGGGTAGAAGGAAGTGGTGGGGTGTGAACTACAAGCAGAGTTCTCCTAAGGGAAAATCACATTTGGTGTTGAGAAAGAGACATGGATTTGGATATATGTATACATTGTTTACGTTGCTATATGACAAGATAGTCCAGCACTAAAAAACAGAAATGGGCTCTAAGCTTGAGTAATTACAAAGGGGGATTTCACCCTCATAGATCTGTCCATGTCTTTGTCATAGAAGACAGTTGTAAGATCACAGAGTGCTCATCTGCTCATCAAATGCTGGTAGCACTCACCCCATTGTAAATGTGACCATCGTGGTCCTCCCAGCTTTCTACAGTGTCCTCCTTCCCTGGACCTGGGCGATGGCAGTGTGGATGGAAACAGACTTAACCCCCAGCCTCCAGGGTTAGGCATCTGTTAGTAACGGATGAGATTTAATTTAGATGGTGGTACTGTGTCCTAAGGCGGTGTGCTGGTTAGTTCCAACTGTTGACTCACCTGGGAAGAGAGAATCTCAGTGAGAAATTATCTAGTTCAGTTCATCTGTAGGCACATCTGGGCGAGTTGTCTAGATTGCTGATTGATGTAGGAGGATCCAGCCCACTGTGGGCAGCACCATTCCCTAGTCTGGGCCCTGAACTTTGAAAGAGTAAAGCCAGCAGGCATGAATGAATAAATGAATAAACAAAAATATTTAAGAAATTAGAAAAACTAGACAGGGCGGATGGTGCATTTTCTTTCTGCTCTTGACTGTGGCTGTCGTGTAACTAGCTGCTTGAGTTCCTTCCTTCGCTTCCCTGAAATAATGGACTGCAGCCTGGACATGTGAATCAAATAAACCCTTCCCCTCTGTGGCTTCTTGATAGTGTTTTTTCTCACCACTGTAGGAATGAAAGTAAGGAAGGTAGTATGCGTGATGATTAATTTCACCTGTCAGCTTGGCTAGGGCGTGCTTGGACAAACGTCAGCCTAGATGTTTCTGTGAAGGTGATGTTAGGATAAGTTAACACAGATGCCTGCAATCCTTGAGTAAAGCAGATTGCGTTCTGTTGCGGGTGTGGGAATTCTGCCTCCAGGCTCCAGCTGTGGCTGGGCGCTTCCCTGGCTCTCCAGCTGCAAGCCCTGACTTCCCACCCTCACAGTAAGAGAGAATCACCCATAGCTCAGTCTCAGTTCTACGCAAAGAAGTAGAACTGCGTGTACCAGGAAGAAAGGTTGAGAAACAGTGGCGTAGGTGATTTAAATGCCTTGGCCTGGCAGGTTAACCATTGACTGGGGGCTCCTGACTTTCCATTTTCTCATTTTTGGAGTTGTGCCGTTCTGCACACCAGTGTCTGAACCGTCAGTGTGATCTATTCTCTGTCCTGTATTTACAGCTTTGTCTATTGTCTATTTAGGAGGTGGCTTGACGACTGAAGAAAAGTCAAAATCAATACCCGCCTCCTCTGTCCTATCAGTCTTCTCCTCACTGTGTGCTCCGTTTGATTCAGTTCTGTCCCAGCCCAGCACACCCCATGTTATGTCATTTCTTATTCTTCTAAATCCATCTGGAAGTCACTGCGATCACCTCCCAGGATCTGCAGAGAACTGACTCCAGGCTCTCGTCTCCATTCCCAGATTCACAGATGCCTGAGTTCTTGACACAAAGGGACAGGTTCCTCGCGTTCCTTGAGCATAGTGCACACCCCCTCTTGTGCACATTTAAGCCACCCCCAGATGATGTCTGCTACCCGATACCTCGTGGTCGCTGCTGGCTCAGTGCTCATCTGCACTGGCTCTGCTCTGCGAAGGGAGCAGCGGCGAGGAGCTCTGTTCACGTTTAGGATGGACCCAGGGTTTTTCTTGAATATCTGCTGTTTAGGGTTGGTTAACTCTCGGCATTTGGAACTGGCAGATGCAGAGAGCTGACTAAACAGAGTTCATGAGTCAGCTGCAATCTGGAAAAACAATGATTTGGAAACTCTAATGAGGAAACCCAGAGGGTACTGTGAGCTGAAGAGGCGATACAGACCGTACAAGGGGGGGCTCCCTGATAGTGTGTATTCTGAGGGCCCCTCCTGCAAGCTCCCTGGCAGGCTGCCCCACTCAGCCCCTCTCACTCTTGGCAGCTGCCGGTGTGAGGACACCTTTTGCCCTCGTTGGCTCTCTAGCCAGGCTCCACCCAGGAGCAGTCCCTCTTGCTTAGCGGTCAAGGGCAGACCACAGGCCAAAGATCCCTTTTCACAGAGGCCTGTGGATTTCCTCTGTTTCCCATGGAATCTGTGTTTTCCAAACTTCTGCTCAAGATCATGAGATCAGTTTAGTGAGCCTGAGAGATTGAGGAGGGAGTGCCAGACACTTACGGACTTGCTGTGCACATGGGCGATGAGTATGGCCAGGTGGTGTGCGAGACCTGTTTTGTGGTGTGTAGTACGTGTTTGTCACGGGGAGGATGAGTCTATGCGGTGTAGTGTGTGGGCGTAATACAGAATCGAAAGGGAAAATTGGGGCCCCAGGAAGGAACAGAAGGCCCTCCCTTCTGTATCTGCTCTGCTGGCTGAGCTTGGAGGGAGTCAATGGAAGCAACAGCTAGGAAAGTGTGAAGATTTCCCGCAGAAAAACAGCACTTGCCTTTCCAAGGGACTTTAAGTGTGAAAGTAAAAACAACACGTGAAACAAGCTTGCCTTAAATGGAATGGGTTGTGGGCCTGTGACCCTTGACATTAACCTCATCAGTCTTCCTCCTTCATCCCTAAACTTGAGCAATAGTCTTGTAAATTACCTTGCAATTTCATTTACAAAACTATAAGATAAAAGACGCATCTTTATAGGAGTAAGGCATCTCCTATTCATTATTAGATTTTAAATTTTTGCTTCACTTTGAAACCTGGTTGTCAATAATATCTTTTGGGACAGCGTAATTTCAAAAGCTACAAAATATCATTAAGATGCTTAGATACTTAGACATCCCCTCCACGCTTAATCTAAAGCATGTACTACCCCCCCCCCTTTGATAACCTGGCTTTGTTTCAGCTGATGCAGGCTGAAATTATTTTCTGTGTCGTAAGATCCCAGCCAAACCTCAGTTCCCGACAAGGATACACCTCAGATTTCAGCGGACAGCTCTCTCCTGGGGCTGCTGATAGACGTGTGTGTGTGTGTGTGTGTGTGTGTGTGTGTGTGCGCGCACACACACACACACACGTGAGCGCGCTGCTGGGTAGGCTGCTGTTGATGCCTGTTCTAAGTCTTATTACCTCAACTCCTCCATTTGGTGTCTCAAGAACCCTTGGGCCTTCGCAGAGGGTTGCAGCCACCGGGTTCTGGCCTGCCTCATCGCCGTCCTTCTGTTTCTTTAGGTTGGTCACCTCACAGAGTCTGGGGCTCGGGGAGCAAATCTCACATCCCATCCCTCTGAACACCCAGGAATGCAAGTTGGCATGCGGGGAGGAAAAAGCCTTCACCTCGCTGAGTCATCGCGCGGCTCAAAACCACGTAGGCAGTGTCATTCTAGAAAAATGTGTCTGGGTGATAACCCAGCCTATATAGCGCTTACTTTGCAAGATCCTAGTTCAGACCTCAGAACGCACATAAAAAAAAACAAAAAAAAAAACCTGGGTGTGGTTGCGTACACCCTGGCGCTGTGGGGAGCAGATGAGCAGATCGCTTGGGCTTGTTGCCCAACCAGGCTATGCTAATCAGAGAACCTCAGACTGATGAGATGTCTTATCAACAAACGAAAAAAACCAAAAAACCAACAAGCAAGGTTGGCTTCTGGTCTCCACACATGCCAGTATACACACACACACACACACACACGCACACACACACACACGCATGTACATACACACACACATACACACACACACACGCACATACATACACACACATACACACACATGCACACACACATACACACACACACACGCACTTACATACACACACATACACACACATGCACACACACATACACACACACATCACACTTGCACACACTCACATCACACACACATTTTCCCACACGCATCACACACGCACACATGCTCTCACACACAGGTACACACATTCACACATGCACACAGACGCACACATACAAAGAGGAAACAAAACTAAAAATGTTTTGACACGCAGACGTTTCTTGCTAAGCTCATTGCAAACACAGGAAGCAGGAGGGAAGCTGTTGCTGAGGCCAACCCGCTGTGCACCCCAGCTTTGCCGGCCGGTCAGCAGCTCCCCCTTGAACCAGCCTCCCCAGGAGCGTGGGAGAGTTAGGCTACGCACTGAGAGCCTAGGAGGATTCAGCCTCCAGGTCCCCAGCTCAGCCTCCTGGGTGTGCGCTCTGGCAAGGCCTGCCTGCCTTGAATCAAGCCACTGCAGCTTCGGTGTGTCTGTCCGTGTCTGGGACAGGCCAAGAACACTGAAAACAGGTGCTTCTATGTGCTGAGTCAGGCCCTGACCCCCGTTCCTATCCTGCGACCTGCCATCATCTCAGAGTGTGCCTGTATGTGGACATATAATCTCTAACGAGGTTAAATGAGCTTATTCATTTGGACTCTAATATAACATGTTTTAAAGAGACTTGTTTTTTGTGATGATACACGCATGCGAGGAGGCTGGTGCCGGAGGAGGCTGGAAGAGAAGCTGGATCTCCTAGAACCAGAGTTAACCCTTACGTGGGAGCTGGGAATTGAAGCAGAGTCTAAGACTCATAACCATTGCACCTTCTCTCCAGGTCAGGACACAGAAGGACGGAGAGACTCCATCCATTAGCCAATGGCCTCCGGTTAAGAAACCAGCCCTGTGCATTCATTAATTCTAGACTTTCAGTCCTGGACTTCGAGCAAAAGTGTTTTTGTTCTGTGAGCTGTCCAGCCTGGCTGTGGCTCTTTGTTAAAAATCATCTCGCGGCCATTTTGGGGGGTGGGGGGGTTCAGGGAGAGGGTTGGTTTCCTGGCTCCTTTCCTATTAGGAAACAGTGCCCTCTGCTGGCTCTTTACGTTATTGACTCAAAACTAATGAATTTCATGTGTGACTTGCAGAGACTTGAGAGCAGGACACGTTCTTTACAAAACTCCTTATGGGGCATTCATAAACAACATGAATTTTTTTTTTTTACAGAATTGTTTTTCATATGTTTATCTTCCCTTTTGGAGACAGGCTGGTATGTGTAACCTTGGCTGGCCTGGAGCTTGCTATGGAGACTTGGCTGGCCTCAAATTCAGATCTGCCTGAAGCCATGCACCACCAGGCCCAGCTATTTAGTCATCTTCAGTCAAGGTTAAAATACGATTGTCTCTCTTCCCCTGGGTTTTGCATTGACCAATTTATCAAATCACAGGCAGAACGTATTTGAAAAGAAACCGTATGTCGGGCTGGGGGATGGCAGAGGGGAAAGTGCTTGCTATGGAAGCGTGAGCACCCAAGTCCAGAGTCCCAGCGCCCTGTGAAAGCTCTCTGGCAACATGCACTATGGCCCCAGGGCTGGGCAGTCTCACCAAATGGGTGAGTTCTAGATTCCCCAAGAGACCCTGTCCCAAACAATATGATGAAGAGTGACAGAGAGAAGACGCTGCCCTCTGACCTCCATGCGCATGTATGCACAGCCTCCCGCTTCCAGACAGACAAACCCCACTCTCCTGACAGCAGCCTTTAACCTTGTGTCTGGTTAGCATCAGGGAGACAGCGCTGGGCTTTCCAAGCTGGAGATGCTGACTGTGGTTTCCGGGCAACAGCATGCATCGCCCTTTGCCCCTGAAGGTCAGGGCCCACGGTCAAGGCCACAGACAGAACCAGAGCCCACACTCCGCGCCTCTCACTTAGAATGTTGAACTTTCCTCCAACTTGAGCCTCGTGCTGCTGGTGTGAGCAGGGAGCAACCAAAGCAATTTCCAAAGCCTTATGGTGAAGAAGGAAAACCCAGTCCCTCGGCTAGTGCGAGGGCGTGCCGCACGTGTCCCCCTGGTTTTATTTTATTTTAATATTTCAGTAACTAGCGATGAAGCAAAACAAAAAAGAAAATGCTCACAGTTGGCTCCCAGATGTGGAAGTCGTCCAACAGTCCCGACAGCCTTGACCAAACGCCAGTTTTTGTCTCTCGCTCTGGGTTAGGTGTGGCACGGTTCGGTAAAGGCAGCAAAGAATGGGTTTTCCTGGACGCACGGGAGAAATCTGAGGAAGCAACAGGGCGCTCAGTGTGTCCAGCCTCGGCCTCAGAGTCTGAGAGGCCCAGCATTTGAGCAGGGATTGTCCTGGCACACCTACGCTGCTTGGAGGGGACACGGTGAGGCCACTGTTGACTTGAACGTCTCATTAACGCCAAGTTTGAGGAGGCCATCACGCCACGTGCAGGGATGCGACAGTGAACTGGAACTCACAGACCTTCTATGCATTTCCTGTACACCTACTATGTGCTGCACCCGAACAGACCAATAGCCCTGGCTGAGCAAGGACTGAAAACACACATGGGCTTCTAAACCGCCTGGACCCAGTTAAATATCTCATCTGCTTTCAAGGAAATGAGTATTTGAGGGAATTCAGGTTCTAAAACGAGGGAAGCCCTTCTGAGAACACCCCCCAAGAATAAGAACAAGCAGTTGCGGGGAGCAGCGCCTGGCGGACTTCGGCGCCACAGAACCGTCTAGTCTGCACTCCCAGCGTCTTACCTCTTACTTTATGTGCAGCAACAACCACGTTTGGCGCTCGGTTGTCCCAGCCTCTTACAGGTTAGACACCGCAGAGGGGGGCTGGCTAGCTGAGGGTGGGGAGGAAAGAAGGAAGAAGAGAAATGAGCAGGTGGAGGCGCAGGTGGCTTCGGGATGGGCGACGCGGACTGAATGCCATCTTGGCCGAGAAAGGGCTGACCGGCTGCAGTCAGCACGGGCTCAGCCGCCTGGCTCCGCGCTCTCAGCACCCTGCCCGAGGTTCTGCTTTTCTAC